CCAGGGCCTCATGCATGTGAGATAAGCACTCTACCACTGAGCCACCTTCCCAGCCCGATTTCAAATCTTGATCCTCAAATCTCAGCCTCCTGAGTAGCTACAGGCATGAGCTACCAGCTTTTCTTGTTAGCCTCCAAGTCATCACTGTATGGTGGTGAAGGGGCTGGGAGCACAGGAAAGGCGTGTCACTAACTCAATGTAATATACACAAACACCAAAGATCATGTCTTGCCTGGGGGCTGACTACTGTGTGGGGACAATTAAGACTGCAGGTCCTTGGCTTGGACCTGGGAAGAACATTCTCCTTGGGTTGGCAGTGAAATGTGCCCCAGGGAAAAGAATCCTCTCTGCGGTGATGCCTGCTTCCTGCCCACTCAGGAGCCAGGAAGCCAACTAGGGAACTGGAGGAATGCCAGCCCTTTGAGTCATTCCTGAAAGATTGGGAGCTTGTTTAGAATCAAGCTTTTTAATCAAAGCTTTTTTCCTTATTTATTTTGGTCAGTTGTGGGGCTTGAACTCTGGGCCTGGGCGCTGTCCCTCAGCTCTTCAGCTCAAGGCGAGCGCTCTACCACTTGAGCCACAGCGCCACTACCACTTGTCTGGTGGTTAATTGGAGATAAGAGTCTCATGGGCTTTCCTGCCTGGGCTGGCTTTGAACCACAATCCTCAGATCTCAGCCTTCTGAGTGGGATTACAGGAGTGAGCCACTGGTGCCTGGTTTAGAATCAGGCTTTTTATCAAAGCTTTTTTTTTTTTTCTGTTTCCTGATGCCTGTATTACTATCCTTCCCCTGAGATGCATCCATGTAGCCAGAAAGGAATTACAAGCCTAGAGATCCTTTATTTGGGGAGGGGTCTGCACAAGAGGGGCTTCACTCCTGTGTGAGGGGGGGGAGAGGGAGAGGGAGGGAGAGAGAGGGAGAGAGAGTAGAGTCTCTGCTTCACTTGTTGGTTCTTTTGGTCACAGTTTTAGTTGTGCTAAGCGGCCCAACCTGAGAGGCCCCCAGGGCCCCCGTTTCTGCTTGGCTGGAGCTTTTCTGGCCCCTACGAAAGAGCCTGCATGGTTTCCTGGTGAGAGAGGAGGCTGGAGGAGAAGTGACAGCTTCTGGGAGGGGCTCCTTCCCCGGCTCTGTAGTGACAGAAGGGAGGCTGTCCCCTGTCATGGGCGCCCCAGGCAGCAGGGACAGGTCGGTGAGGGTAGGCTGGATTTCCATCCTCAGAATGTGTTCTGACAGGGCAGCCTTCTGTCTGCGCTCCTGGTTCTTGCTCATGTCCTTCTCCAGCTCTGTGAAGAAGCCTAGGAAAGGTGGGGGTGGACCATGGAGCCTGGGGCTCAGCAAGAGGGCCGGCTCCCTCCTACTGGGATGAGCCTCCTACATGCCCGGGATGTACCTGCTGGGTACTGTCCACCACTTCTGGCCCAGGTGCTGGCTGGGCTTAGGAATCTCTCCCCAGACATCCCTGCCATCTTAGCTTTCCCCCCAGGCCCGACCTTGGACAACAGAGTCACCTCGCTCTGTACGGAATGGGCCACTCAGCTCAGGGAACTCGTCTTCATCGCTTGAGGCCTTATCCTCATCATCTGAGATCCAGCGCTCCAACACAGGCTGCTTGTCCAGGTCCAGGAGTAGAGGCAGAGCTTCTAGTACCGTCTCCCTGCAGGGCAGAAAGAAGAGAGCTACCCAGGAGGGGGCCTCCAGTGTGGAACCTGGGAGACACAACAACATGGGCCACAGTACCCACGCCCGGGCGTGCAGATCACAGACTAGGGGATGGGCTTAGGGCTGGCCCTAGTGAGCTGTTAGGAATGGACTGCGGGGGTGTGGAGAAGGGGTCGTGGGCTGCCAGGTTTGCAAGCAGAGGGAGAGGTGTGGCCGGTAGATGTGTGTTCTACCTTCAGTCCCTCCTCACCTGTAACCCTCCTTTTCGGTGCACTGGTTTCCAGTCAGGTTGAAGATGAGAAGGCTCTGGGGGAGCTCATCTGCACAGCAGAGAGAAGTAAGGTTCTTAGACTAGCTCCCGGAAGTTGGTACGTGAGTCGGAGAGCAGGGTGGGGAGTACAGGCATGGGGATGTGGAGGCAGGGGGCAGGGAGGCCGCCACACGGGTCATGGTCAGTGAGCTGGGGCCAGGGCGTTCTTACCCAGCTTCAGTGTTTCTATCAGGTTCTCAGAAAGGTCCAGAAACTGGAGATATGGGAGGTCAAGGAGGTTTTCCACTTGCCTAATTTGGTTGCCTGCCAGAGACAGGAAGCTGTAGGGGGGGAAACGGGACAGAGATACAAGTGAATCTTGGGATGGCTGGAGGAAGGGCGGGGATACCATGCAGGGTCCTGGGTCGCTGGCCTAGGCGGCTGGATGATAAGTGTGAATACAGGTTCTTTGGGGCAGGCTGGGGGAACTCTGAGCAGTTGTTAGGGATTGCCAAGTTTCCCACACCTACTCCTTATTTCTTCCCCACCCAAGCCTTGGCACCACATACCGCAAGGAGGGGATGCACGCCAGATTCTCAATGCGCTGGATCTTATTCTGCAGAAGGAAGCGAGGGGAGGAGACCAAGCTGAAGTCAGCTGGATAAGAAGCCCTTTAGCCGGGCGCTGGTGGTTCACACCTGTAATCCTAGCTACTCAGGAGGCTGAGATCTGAGAATCGCGGTTCAAGGATTACAGGTGTGAGCCACCAGCACCCGGCTTTTTCTTTTCTTTCCTTCCTTCCTTCTTTCCTTTCTTTCTTCCTTCTTTCCTTCCTTCTCCTTCATTCCTTTCTTTCTTCTTTTCTCTCTTCCTTCTTTTTTTCTTTCCTTTGTTCTCTCTCTTTCTCTTTTATTCTTGCCATTATGGTTCTGAGACTTGAACTGGAGCTTTGTGCTCTTGTATGTGTTACTTATTTTCAAGATAGGATCTCACTTTATGTCCAGGCTGGTCTGGACTGTGATCCTCCTATTGGTGCTTTCTGGAATTGCTGGGATGACAGGCACATGCTATTGTAGCCTGGGATGATAGGTTTGTGCCACTGCACCCAGCCACAGTGAACATATGTCAACTTAATATGTAAAGTTTCTGTGGGGGAAAGTTTAAGGGATCTGGGTATATTCAACCTGAAGATCATACAGCTACCACACCACTTAGCCTTCAAGGATCTGAAAGGTGTAGAGGAATCATCTTCAAAACAGGAAATGGGCTTGAGCTGTGTAATTTGAAAGGCTTTAGTGTCTGCCTAAAGAATAGTGACTCATCCTGGTACTGTGGTGCACACTTGTTATCCCATTACTTCTCAGGTGAAGACAGGAGGATCTTGAATTGGAAGCCAACACGGGATATATAGTGAGACCCTGTCTGAAAAACAACAGCGACAGCAACACAACAAAGACAAGAATCCCTTTTGGAAGATCACTATTTCAATTCCGACTTACCCAATCATGTGGAAATAATTTAAAGGAAGGACATCCTACCCAAACACCATGAATTACACAAAATGACCCATTTGGCTACTTTCACATTAGACAGACTCAATCAACAGGGAATGGGGGGAGAGGAAAGGCTGGGAATAAGACCTTACCTCTTGCAGATAGAGGCTGTGAATATTTTGGAGCCCCTCTAAGTTTTTGATGGTGGTAATCCCCTCCCGGTCCAAGCGCACAGTCTGCAGTTCAGCAAGGTTGTTAAATCTGGAGAAGAGTGGGCAGAGTGTGTAACAGAGCCCATTTTGGGGGTCTCAGCAGAGAAGATTGGAGGGAGAGAGGAAGAGGAGGAAG